CATTCCACAAACCATTATTCCTAAACTACCCTTCAATGTGGACACACTCATTGTGGCACGTGTATTGACAAACTAAATAATAATAAATAAATAAACAATATTTAAAAAAAAAACTCCACTCTCCTCCACCCTTTCTTCGAAATATTCAGACAAAAGGTCTAGGAAATTAAAGAGAAAACTATCTTTCTCTTGGAATTTCTCAGCCTACCCAACTAGGGCGCAGTCCGATTCGGTCTGGTTCTCACCTCAAATCAGAACCAGAATCGGTACTATTTAACCTGTCTGGTTTGGGCAAATTTTTTTAAAAAAACCAGCCCGTTTGGTTCTGACCAGTTCCGGTTTTGAACCGGATTATTAATTTATTATTTTTTTTCAAAAAAAAGAAGAAGAAGTTATTTTTTATAAAATTAACAAATGATCCAATTCATAAAATGAGAAATTTTTTGAAGTTGAACTTGGAAAAATAGTAATTATAAATTTTATATTGAATTTTAAAAATTTGTAATAAAATAAAATATAAAAATATAACTAGTCTTGTCCGGTGCAAAATCGGAATCGAAATCGGTTCAGTCTTGTTCCAGTCCAATTTAGGTCCAGTTTGTCGACTTTTTTGGTCAACTGGTTTTTTTTCACCGGTCCGGTTCGGTGTTCCGATTTTCAGGTCCCGATGCCCACCCCTGTACCCAACCCATAACCAGTTTGTTTTTTTTCTTCCCCTTTCTACTTGGAAGAATAAACAATTTTATTTGAAACATGATCAACTTACAAACTGTTGCAGAGACATTTTAGCGGGAGAGAAGGAGAAACTTTGCATGCAGTTTGGGGCTGGGCTTTTGGAGCTGGGGCCATGGATGTAAGAGTGGCCATTCGGTAGTCAAGCGCTGGCAATCTTGGATTTTCGAAAGTGTAGTATTATTTGTCCCGGGTCTTGGGCTTTTGTCAAGCCTTGGAGCCGGACCTGAGGCGCAAATTCTTGTAAAGGGTTGGGCATAGGGATGCCGAAGGCAACACGAGATGTGTTTGGACATAGGGGTGCCAAAGGTAACACAGAGCTTGCATGTCGCAAGACAATGTGCCCAGGCACGGGGGTGCCGAAGATAACACAAAACTTGTGTGTCGCAGAACGATGTGGCTAGGCATGAGGGTGCCGGAGGCAACACAAACCTTGCATGTCGTAAGGCAATGTGGCTGGGCACGAAGGTGCCGAAGGCAACACAAAGCTCGCATGTCGCAAGGCGATGTGACTAGGCACAGGGGTGCCGGAGGCAACACAAAGCTCGCATGTCGCAAGGCGATGTGACTAGGCATAGGGGTGCCGGAGGCAACACAAAGCTCGCATGTCACATGGCGATGTGGCTAGGCACGGGGGTGTCAAAGGCGACACAAGGCTTACATGTCGTAAGGCAATGTGACTAGGCACGAGGGTGCCGGAGGCAACACAAAGCTCGCATGCCACATGGCGATGTGGCTAGGCAAGGGGGTGGCAAAGGCGGCAAAAGGCGTACATATCGTAAGGAATTGTGACTAGGCACGAGGGTGCCGGAGGCAACACAAAGCTCGCATGCCACATGGCGATGTGGCTAGGCAAGGGGGTGGCAAAGGCGGCAAAAGGCGTACATATCGTAAGGAATTGTGACTAGGCACGAGGGTGCCGGAGGCAACACAAAGCTCGCATGCCACATGGCGATGTGGCTAGGCAAGGGGGTGGCAAAGGCGGCAAAAGGCGTACATATCGTAAGGAATTGTGACTAGGCACGAGGGTGCCGGAGGCAACACAAAGCTCGCATGCCGCAAGGCAATGTGGCTAGACACGAGGGTGCCGAAGGCAACACAAGATATGGCTAGGCACGGGGTGCCGAAGGCAACACAAAGCTAGCATGTCGCTGGGCGATGTGGCTAGGTGCAATGGTGCCAGAGGTGACACAAAGTTTGCGTGTCGCAAGGCAATGTGGCTAAGCACGATGATGCCGAAGGCGACTAAGCTGTGGCTAAGCACGGGGGTGCCAAAGGCAACACAAAGCTTGCGTATTGCAGAGCAATGTGGCTAAGCGCAATGGTGCTGGAGGCAACACAAACTTGCATTGTGACAAGGCATTGTGGCTAGGCATGAGCAGCAGTGCCTGTTGATGGCTGGGTGCCTAAGGCATCGCACAAGCTATATGATGAAGATTGTATGGGTGCCGAAGGGCATTGAGAAAGGGGAGAACGACATAAGCCTTTTGTATCAATTCCTACAGACGGCGCCAAACTGTTGATGCTCTTTTTCGGAGAGGGTCAACTTAGAGAAAGTGAGGTTTGCCTTCAGCAGAAAAAGGGTCTGGACCTTCAATAAAGGCTAGCCTGCAGAAGACAAAAATAAGGAAAGCAGTCGTTAAGCTTCGGACACCGGTGTGGTGCACGTCGAAAGCTCTCCGATGCTTAAGTCAGCTAAGAAGGGTAACTTTTGCAGAGTAATAGTAAAAGGTAGAAAAGTAGTTACCCCTCTTACTAGGGTACTGTTCCCTTTTTATAAGGAAGTGAAAGTGAGAGGTTGGTGTAGATTTCCGATGTAGGACTTTGTGCAAGTTGCCGCGAGAATTAGGTTTAGCAGTTTGTGAGCTTTGGCAGTCAGGAGTTTCGGCAGGTGCTTGGCACCTCGGAAGAGTGTCTTCCTTCGGCAGAAGAGAAGGCGTGTCTGTCTTGGTGCTAGTTGTTTTGAGACTGGATATGCTCGATTGATTATAGTGTAAACAAAAAACAATAGCAGTGATCCTGAAACTGAAAGCTACCCCTGCCCATGATCCATCAGCTTTCTTCAAGATCACTTCCATCATAGCCACTTGGTATGTAGTGCTTGGTCTAGACTTATCTGTAAACTGCTGTCTTTTGATTTGGATCTGTATAAGATTGTTGCTTCAATTTTTTATTTTTGGAATTTTGACATGGAAGGCATGATGCTTGTGGTTTGTAGGTTGTTGGGTACCTTAACAGCAAGCAGGCGGCGCTGTTCAAAAGAATGATTTGGGAAGCAATGAACAAGGACTATGATAAGGTAATGCCTTTGGAAATCCATAAATTTTATCATATGTGTGTTCACAAGGATTCGGTGCAATGCTAGGGGCTTTCTTAGTTTCTGTTTGTTCCATGGTTTCATTTATTTGTTGTCTATATTTTTGGCTTTTGAGTCTTTAGATTGAAAATCATTGAGGTTATGTAGTTAATCATGATTATCAGCCCCTGCATTATTTGCCTCTTCATTCTCCTTAGCTCTGTGATTGTGCAGGAATTCTTCACTTTTAAAACTGACCTCGTTTCTTGTATTTGAGTTTATGTTTGCTGCATGTCATATGTGCATTGTGATCTGAAGCATAGGCTTGGAAGTCCCATCCAGCTTAGAGTTCTTGCCTAGTTCAGAGCTGTTATTTGAGTCACACACTGCATAACTGTGTTGAAAGTTTTCACTTCAATCTTATTTGCATTTGACTTATTTTTTTATCTTTCGACTATTTGTGTATGTTTTACTGCCAGCATTGAGCCTTATGTATTGATCTCTATATGCAACTATAAAATTGGCAGGAAAAGAGTAGAAAACGAGCTAGAATGGCCAAGAAAGCTACTCGTGCTAAAAAGCTATCAAAGTGTGATGGATACTAAGAATGTAGGTTAATAATAAACTGGTTTATGGGATTTTTGGTGCTTAAATTTTCCTGCAATGTTGATTGTCCTGCTTATAATTTATTTAACAGATACTAATGTGACATTTTGTTCTTGTAGAGGCTGAGTTCAAAAATCAACTATGAAGCTTTGGATAAATTAAATGAAGAGCTTGTAAGCATCTTTTATATGTCTTATTTTAGAATCAATTTATTCATGCTTTGCAAATCCCATATTGTGTTCTGTCAACATCCAAGGTCTTGTTCACTGATGCAGAGACTACAAGTGACTAAAAGCCAATAAAATCTAATGGCACGTTTAATTTCGATTGCCAAATGATGTTACTTGTTCAATATATTTTTTGTTTTCTTAATGTCTGGTTAGTGTGCAGACACCAAACTCCTGTTTAATGGAATAAAGGTATATCCAAGTCACACAAACTACTCCAGGATAGAACATAATACATAAAAGAATAATCTTTGGAAGATGGTATATTATTATTAAGCATGGATTAAGACATGAAACTGTGATATCTGAAAATCAATCTGGTGGTTTACTAGAATGATCAGTTAACTATCTGGGCAGTTAATGGGGCAGTTATATGGTTCAAAGTTTTTTTTGTCATCTTATAATGATTTTGCAATGTAGTTCCTAGTTAAAAATCCTGGTAGGTTTTAGAAAATGGAGGTATCTCTCAGCGAGTAATTGCCTGAACTTTAATAGATACTGAATTTGATTCATCTGATCTTTTTCTTCATGTGTAAAATCAGGGTTATGCACCTGTATTTGAGGAAGGCACAAAGTCTAATTGTGGCAGTCTTGGTGATATGCAACTGTCAAATGAGAAGAACAGTCGTGATGATGAGTTTGAGCATGAAAGTAATGGTTATAGTGGAGAGGCTGAAGCCAGACAAGGCCAAGATGACGATTCATATGTTGCAAATGACAAATATAATGGATACAATTACATTGAAATGCAATTATTAGGATGAGGAATGCGATTTTGAAGAATTGACTTAAATAATCAACTTTTTTTCTTCTTGATTTAGATTATTTTTCATGAATCAGTTGTATCATGTTATGATCTAAAGGTTAAGCAATTGAATCTTCTGGTTTTTAACAACTTTTTCGAATTGGAATCAGTCTGAGGGGAGATGCTATTGAGCATTGTTTGCATGTGAAACTCTTTGAACTATAACCATGAGCAAAATTTGTAAATTGGAACACTGAATTGTTGGTTTAAAGTTGTTCACAGTTTATTGAGTGTAGGGAGAAGCACCAGTTTGACAACAATGTTTCCCCTGTTTTCTTCTTCCTAAATTCAACACTGACAACACCAAAAGGCGTTTCAATATTCTCTACAAGTCTGAGGAAAATTTCAATTGATCATTTATTTGCATCTCAAACTGTGAATTTGTATAATTCAGTTAAAAGAAATTTTATTCAATGTTGAAAAATCTTTACATAGAACAGAGACTGAATTGTGTCTTGGTTCCAGCTTCGAAGCTGTTCAGAGTTTGCTAGCGAGAGCAAGATACTTGGTATGACGGCCCTGAGCTATAATTTTGCCTGTCTTCTTCTTCCTTAACTCAACACTGGCAACACCAACAGCCTTCCCAACTCGTAAAGCCTTGGCCTCAACCTCAACTTCCTCACCAGGGTAAGCAGAATCCAAGTATGAAACGTTGATCTCCACTGAAACTCCGGAGCTGGGAATTCCGACGGTGAGGATTGCAGCTGACCCTATCAAATCCACAAGGGTTGCTGTGGCTCCACCATGCATAAAATTGCCTCCATTCAGCAAACGAGGGGGTACTTTGAAGGAGCAAACAATACGACCGGGTTCAAGGAGATCGACTTGAATGCCTTTCATGATAAAGGGCTCAAAGAACTTCTCTGGCAGCCCATCCATGGTGATTGCCATTTCACCTTCTTTCTCCAAGAACTTCTTCACTGACTCCATACTTGTTTCCTCATTTCCTTCTTTCGTCATTTCAATTATTGCAATCAATTGAAAATTAATCTGCATAAGGACTTTGTCTGTCTCAGTACCAACCAAAAATAACTTTTCTTGATAAAAACGATGAATGATGCAACTCAGAGGAAGAAAAAAAGTATCATACAAGGGCAAAGTTAAAAACTTTAACCTATGTTTTCATTTAGACACACGTACACACACTGAGGTTCTAATCTAGATAGAGAAGTCAAACCAAACCAGCTTCTTAATCAATATTTGCATTGTGGTTTCATATCATTATCATTTTCCTTCAAAATTTCTCCACAATCAACCAGAGCTCTGAGCACTGAGAACCCTAACATTACATCCACAGAGAAAAAAGAGAACTTTGTTTGCATACAAGCAGATCAAGTCAGATTCAAAACACATTCAAGATCAGGAAAAAGGCCAAGCTAACCCAGAATCCAAAATCTAGTCACAAATATGACAAATTTCCCAAATATTTTCTGAGAAACACCTAAATTGAGAGTTTATACAAAACCCCAAATCTAATATCAAATTCCTCTCTAAAAACAAAACCCAGATCATCAATTCCATTAAATTTCAGAAACGGAAACATATATCAGGGGGAGAGAGCTGAATCATACAAATATAGAGAAAGAGCTCTGAATGATTATCAAATTGCTAAGAGAGAGATCAGAACCTCAGGGCAGTGAGCTATGTCCTTCCCTGACTCAGTGTTGCCTTAGAAATGCGAGAAGATGATAAAAGATAGGTTTCTTTCAATTTTGTTGGGTAAAAAAAAGGTTTCTTTCGAAAGTATATTTTTGTTACTTATAATTTTGACTCAATTTCGTTTTAATCCTTGTAGTTTCAAATATAGCAAAAGCAATCTCATTCCTATGGTTTATATGGCAATTGAATCCATCTCTCTCTCTTTTTATTTATTTATTATTATTTATAAACTTGAAAATCAATCATTAAATTAGGGACCATGATGAATACTACAAACTAACCAACCATGAATTTTTTTTTTTTAACAAATAATATTCTAAATTATTATAATGAACAAGAATCAAATTTAAAAAGATAAGCACACTCTATAGACCTAACTCAGGTGTACGCCAATACGAAATTATTGAATCAACATCATAAAGAAAAATGTGAATTTCCAAGTCTTTGAGGTTTCTCGACAATGTTTTGGTGATTTCAATTCCCCCACCAACTCCTTGAACAGAGGAGAGTGTTAAGAAAATTTAGTAAACACTTTTATAGGAGGAATGCTTGGTTCTAATTTCTCTTAACTCTCAACTCATTCGCATTCGAATTCATTCTCAATTAGATTCCTTCACAAAATTGCAAATTGTAACAAAGTGTTGGAAGCTTATCATAAGATTGATATAAAACAACTATTGGCAATCATAATGCTCATGAACTATATACAATTGATCTCAGAAAAAGAAAAAAGAAAAAAAAAAAAAAAAAACTCATTTGAGTGGCTCAATTAGCGCACTAGTGGTCTAGTGGTCTAGTGGTCTAGTGGTTAGGTTCAATTCCTTTAATAATAATATATTTTTTGTTGAATAAACAAATATTGATGGTTAGAAGAATTTGACGGATAGACATGGACTCTATCCACTCTGTCTCTCTGTGTCTCTGTCTCTCTCGTACCATTAAGTGAGTGGGAGAATCCTCCCTTTCACTCTCATAGGGGGGAGAGAGAGATAGAGAAGAGAGAGAGATGATGAGTTTCAGAATCAGTGGGGGAAGCTAGCCGCCATCTCCTCATACCAATTTGCTGGTTCTTGCTTCAGCTGCTGTCTCTCTGCTTCAATATCTCATCACCTCAGAAACCTACTGCAAACCCTTTCGAAGGTACCCCTCTCTCTCTCTCTCTCTCTCTCTCTCTCTCAGTTGGCTTGAATGATCATAAACTGCTAGTTTTCTTCTTTGAAAATGTTAATAAATTAAGGTTGTTTTATTGTAATTCAAAGAGGCCTTCAAAAGCAATGTAGCCCTGTTTGCATAGTAAAAACAGTGGTTAAAAATTATTTATTTCTTTATGAGTGTATATATAGGGAGAACAGTCGTCTTAAATTATTGAATTTTATGGAAGAGTGGTGATTTTCCCACTCTTTTTTTTTCTTATTTTATCCACTTACACTTCTTTTTTATAACTAAAAAAGGAGTGTAAGTGAATAAAATAGGAGCGGGGAAATCATTGCCCTTATAGAAACCCTATGAACCAACCCATAAGCCTCAACCTGATCACATTGCATGTGCAATCCACGTGTCCTATATACAAAATGTCACTTGGCATTATGTACCTAACTTGTATATAATAAAATCAAAGTTATTATCTTGATATGATTTTGTTGATAATGACGTCAACTTATTTATATCCATTCCAATATGACGTCAGTATAACTCAGGTCAGTTTGCACATCATCAAAATGCTCAGCCATTCATCACCTTTGACTGATTCAACTTGCACATAGGCCTTCATCGTCCAGAGTGGTTGTTAGCCACAATTTTTGAAAATTCCACAATAGTTTTTTTTTCGTCTTTCGAAAAATCCAGGTCTACTCTTCTGAAATTTATTGTGTACCCACGAAAAACATAGTACGGTCGTCGGATTAGAGATGTAGGCCTCCTCTCATACAGAAATTGTCAAGGAAATAAATTTCCGACTATGTTATCTTCTCTTGCACCCGAGGCGATTCTCCCCTTCCTCAATATCGCTTGTTTAAAAAAATAAAAAAAGTTTTCAGACCAAAATAAAAAAGGTTTTTAGAATATTATAAGAAGTTTAGTTAAATTTCTATAGCTTTATTGTTAGTCCACTCCATCCCTTTGATATTGTGAACAAGAAAAGGTATTTAAATTGGAAAAGCCATGAGATGAGTATCTAGAATTGTAGATAAATATTTCAAACTCTAGCTCAATATAATAATAACAATATTCAATGTGGATGTCACTTGTCAACGCATTTAGCCCACTGCAGGTAGGAAATTAGAAAAGCGGCAGCCATCTGATCATGCAACTTGGAAAGGAAAATAATAATAATACTAAATGCAAAACCCCTGAAGTCAACGTAGTCTTAATGCTGAGGTTGTCGAGTCTTAATCTAACTGGAACTTTCTGATTGTTGAAAATGGAGTGTTCTCTACTGTGTGTTAGAACAAGTACTTTAGGAACCATTGGCAGTCGAGGAGCCAGCGCTTGTGTACAATAACATGATCGATTCGAGGAGGATGTTGAAGCAACCATGGCATCTTTCAGTGTCCGTTGCCTTCTTTTCCAGCCTATGCTTCTGGTTTCAGGTGATTTTATCCACTTACACTTCTTTTTTATAACTAAAAAAGGAGTGTAAGTGAATAAAATAGGAGCGGGGAAATCATTGCCCTTATAGAAACCCTATGAACCAACCCATAAGCCTCAACCTGATCACATTGCATGTGCAATCCACGTGTCCTATATACAAAATGTCACTTGGCATTATGTACCTAACTTGTATATAATAAAATCAAAGTTATTATCTTGATATGATTTTGTTGATAATGACGTCAACTTATTTATATCCATTCCAATATGACGTCAGTATAACTCAGGTCAGTTTGCACATCATCAAAATGCTCAGCCATTCATCACCTTTGACTGATTCAACTTGCACATAGGCCTTCATCGTCCAGAGTGGTTGTTAGCCACAATTTTTGAAAATTCCACAATAGTTTTTTTTTCGTCTTTCGAAAAATCCAGGTCTACTCTTCTGAAATTTATTGTGTACCCACGAAAAACATAGTACGGTCGTCGGATTAGAGATGTAGGCCTCCTCTCATACAGAAATTGTCAAGGAAATAAATTTCCGACTATGTTATCTTCTCTTGCACCCGAGGCGATTCTCCCCTTCCTCAATATCGCTTGTTTAAAAAAATAAAAAAAGTTTTCAGACCAAAATAAAAAAGGTTTTTAGAATATTATAAGAAGTTTAGTTAAATTTCTATAGCTTTATTGTTAGTCCACTCCATCCCTTTGATATTGTGAACAAGAAAAGGTATTTAAATTGGAAAAGCCATGAGATGAGTATCTAGAATTGTAGATAAATATTTCAAACTCTAGCTCAATATAATAATAACAATATTCAATGTGGATGTCACTTGTCAACGCATTTAGCCCACTGCAGGTAGGAAATTAGAAAAGCGGCAGCCATCTGATCATGCAACTTGGAAAGGAAAATAATAATAATACTAAATGCAAAACCCCTGAAGTCAACGTAGTCTTAATGCTGAGGTTGTCGAGTCTTAATCTAACTGGAACTTTCTGATTGTTGAAAATGGAGTGTTCTCTACTGTGTGTTAGAACAAGTACTTTAGGAACCATTGGCAGTCGAGGAGCCAGCGCTTGTGTACAATAACATGATCGATTCGAGGAGGATGTTGAAGCAACCATGGCATCTTTCAGTGTCCGTTGCCTTCTTTTCCAGCCTATGCTTCTGGTTTCAGGTGTCCATGGCTCAAAATGCTACTACCGATCCATCCGAAGGTACACTAGCCATGCTTTCAAAAGTTGTACATACATATTTCTAAGCATCTTTTAAATACAGAGTATATATATGTTGTTTTTTTCTTCCTTTTTGCGATTTCTGGACAGTCTAGTAGCATAAGTACGTTATGTGATGTGTACACAACGATTGAATTGAGAGTGCAGTGAGGGCGTTGAACTCAATATTCGAGCAATGGGACGCGCAAGCCGTGCCTGGGCTGTGGAATATCAGTGGAGAGCCATGCAGTGGATCTGCAATTAATGGAACCGAGTTTGAGGATCCAGCTAATAATCCAGCCATCATTTGTGATTGTACTTATGAAAAAAGTACTACCTGCCACATCACCAAACTGTATGTTACCCTCCTCTATCTCTCTCTCTCTCTCTCTCTCTCTCTCTCTCCATACTCTTTAGTCTTGTGTTGTTGACTTCGGCAACTCCATTAATTATGTGTTAGAAAACTAAGCAGATGATGCCTAATATATCAATTGTAATATTAAGTGCCTAACTGCTCAATCTTTTTTCTTTCCAGGAGAGTTTATGCTCTGAACAAACAAGGGGTGTTTCCACAAGAATTTGTGGCTTTAAGATATCTGACCGTTTTGTATGAAGTTTTTCCAACCCCATTCTCTGTTGTTGGGTTTACCAAAATTAACATTTGCATATAAAAGAGAAAGACACATGTTTCTTAGTCTTACTGTTCAAAATTGGCACGAATATTTTTTATACTCAGAGATTAATCGTTGGTCATTGCACTTTGTTTTAATTCTTGTAGGAAAATTGATCAGAATTATTTCACCGGTCCCCTACCAGCATTCATCGGCAATATGTCCACATTGACGTCATTGTAAGTAGTAAGAGAACATTTGTTTAAGTTGTAATACAAATTTTTATCTGTCTATTACTTTGATGAGACTCATTCCCATGTACAATATCTATAATTGACTTAGAACCCGTTTGATAACCATTTCAGTTTTCGGTTTTTAGTTTTCAATTTTCAATTTTAAGTTTTCATTTTTCAAAAACTGAAAACTTGTTTTGTAATTAATTTCGATTTTCACAAAAAGTGAAAACTGAAAACTGAACACAAGATGTTTGGTAACTGAATTAAATTTTCAGTTTTCAGTTTTATGTGAAACTTGGAAATGGAAGTTTTTGGGGTCCAATTGTGAATTTATGATCATAGAATGAAAGTGCATGTTACAAAGAGTTCATTATATTTTTCGGTGAATTTTTTTTGGAATTATGATGAATTTTGGACATGAAATATAGACCTCCCAAGTGAGTTATACCATATGGTAAAAGCAGCACATAGTACATAAATTTTTTTCTGATTTTATCCTAAATTATATGCACGTGCTAATTTCTTTAATTGATATTTCCATTCAGGTCAATTGCCATCAATTCATTCTCTGGCCCCATCCCCAAGGAGCTTGGAAACCTTACGGAGTTAACTTCGCTGTAAGCAATGAAACATAAGAAAGCACAATTAAATTTTGTGTCCCTATCATTTAATTCCATACCTCTTCAACATGACTTGTTGCAGGTCCTTTGGATCAAATAATTTCTCCGGAACACTCCCTCCAGAACTTGGTAACTTAGTCAAGCTAGAGCAATGGTGAGTGCTTCATTTAACTCATCAAATTTGAATCGCATGTTGCAATGTGTTTTTACCGGTTTATTTGTTAATTCATTATCGATGAGCAAGGAGTTCGTTTATCATATGAAATTGGTACTAATCAGTTTATGATTTTCACAGGTACATGGACAGCTGTGGACTTAGTGGTGAAATTCCTTCAACATTTGCTAAGCTCATCAACATGCAAATCCTGTAAGAATGGCCCTTAAGTGGTGTTTTAAGTTATTTTTTGTTTATTCAGCACTTTGAGATTGCTATTCTGGGATGAGCTTACTATGAGTCAACTTTTTGAATTTTAGCTGGGCATCAGACGTTGCTTTCTCAGGAAAGATACCTGCTTTCATTGGGAATTGGACAAAACTAACTGTTTTGTAAGTACGGAAAACTTTTAACCTTCTGCAGTTTATGAAAGCAGACCTGCATGGCTGAGAGATGGGTCTTTTGTTCACAAGCATCTCAAATGTTTTTGTAGGAGATTTCAAGGGAACTCTTTTGAAGGCCCAATACCAACCAGTTTTTCTCAACTGACTTCATTGAACACTCTGTAAGGGCAAATGCTTCATATGTTTTGCTCTCTCTCTCTCTCTCTCTCTCTCACTATACTAGCATCACTTATGTTTGTGTATGATAATGCAGGCGAATCAGTGATATATCTAATGTGAGCTCCTCTCTTGATTTTATAAGAAATTTGAAGAACTTGACTGAATTGTAAGTTAACATTCTCATCCCTTCAAATGTCATGATATAACTTCTTTTTTCCTTTTAAAATTTGCAATCTTACTCATTTACTTTGTGCACTAAATTTTTTGGTGGTGGAACAGAGTTCTACGGAATGCATTAATCAATGGTAGCATTCCTTCTAATATTGGAGAATATGAAGGTTTACAGATACTGTACGTTCCAGCAGATATATAAGTTAAAATCCCAAAAATCCCAATTAATTTTCTTTCATTCTAATTGCTTTCTAACCTTATCATTCATGTTGCAGGAATCTGGGTTTCAACAATTTAACAGGCCAACTCCCAAGTTCTTTGTTCAACATGAGTTCTCTTACATACTTGTAATAAGCCCTGCCTTCTTTATTATATTTTTCTGTACTCATGCCATTGGATTTCCTGCTCAGAAACTTAGTCATTCATCTGACCTTTTTCTTGTTTCTTTCTTCTTTTTTCCTTCTTTTTCTGGGTGCCTTAATGGCCAGGTTTCTTGGAAACAATAGCCTGTCTGGACCTCTTCCAAGCCAAAAGAGCAATCGACTTCAGACTATGTAAGTCCTCATGTCATAAAAGTATGTTATATAGAATGTACCAGCAATGAAACAAGTACTCTGTGTGCGTCTGTGTGCATATGGGTGTATCTGTGTACGTGAGATAAAATCTCAATCAGGGCCTCATCCATTGATGAAAACATTCTAATCATTTTTCTTATTCTAATTATTTTGAACTTTCATGCATTTTGTGCCCTCTCATTCTGTACTGTTATGTGCAGTGATTTGTCTTACAACTATTTATCAGGAAGCCTTCCCCAATGGGTAACCACAATATCGCAACTGTATGTCTCCTTTTTGTCTTTCACCTTCATGTTTACAGTTTAAATCACCAGAATCGGTTTGGGCAAAGCATATCACCAGGATTTGTTCTTACAGTGCTTCTTTCCTTGAATATTGTGCATATATAATACCCACATGATTGAAATTCAATAAAGGCTTGATATCACAAAACGTCCCTAAGGTTTACGAAACTATGAGATTGCATCCTTAATGTTTTTTTGTCATTCGTGGTCCTCAAGGTTAGTATGTGTGCTCACAAATAATGTGTGGGACAGTTTGAAGTGATGGATTTGAAGTACTACTATGTTTAGATATCGAACATTGGCACGAACTTAGTGGTCAACAACTTCACATTTATAGCTTCATATGTTGATTGATTAATGATTTTATGCAGGAACTTAGTGGTCAACAACTTCACATTTGGCAGTTCAAACATAACGTGAGTTGAAGTTTCTCTTACCCTTAGTTAGACAGACAATACTCACTACTAGCTATTACACTTCTTCAGTTTAATGGATTCTTCCACTACATTTTTCCATCTGGATAAATAATAATCGTTCTCTGTGTTTGCAGTCTTCCTGGATTGAATTGCCTCCAGAGGAATTTTCCATGCAATCGAAATACCCCTCGATGTAATCTTCTTTTGTTTCACTAGCCATTTATTAATGCATTATCATGTTACAGGAATAGGCATTGCTTCTCTAACTATGTATGCATATTGCAAGAGTGTTTTGATACATCTAGTAAGCATATCTGGTTATAAATATGTGATTCAGAAACATCAGTATGAGTCTTGTCTTGAGTTTGAAGTTTTTATCACTAATCATAGCTTGTGCTACTATATTCAATTTTACAGATGCAAACTTCTCAATCAAGTGCGGAGGACCACAAATGAGAGGAAGTGATGGCATATTGTATGAAGCTGAAGACTCAGCTCTAGGCCCAGCAACATTTAATGTAACCAGTACACAGAAATGGGCTGTTAGCAATGTGGGTTTGTTTTCTGACAGAAAGAATCCATCATTTGTGGAAACCACCCTTACGCAAGTCACCGGTACAGATGTGACCCCAGAGCTTTTCCAGACTTCAAGACTGTCCCCAGGTTCACTGAGATACTATGGCCTGGGTCTTGAGAATGGGCCTTATACCGTAACGTTGCAATTTGCAGAAACAGTTTATACTAGCCGTGCTACAGAAACTTGGCAAAGTTTAGGAAGGCGTGTATTTGATATCTATATTCAAGTAAGGCTGCTAATGAACTATTTGCAATAAGGGCAACCTCATTAGACAGAATTATTTAACTATCTCTTCATTTGCTTCCTAGGGGAACCTCAGATGGAAGGACTTCGACATATCGAAGGAGGCAGGTGGGGTTAACAGAGCAGTTGGGAGACCCTTCAAGGTTAATGTGTCAGAGAATTACCTAGATATTCATCTGTTCTGGGCTGGGAAGGGAACATGTTGCATACCTGAACAAGGTGATTACGGCCCGCTAATATCGACTGTCCATGCTGCTTCAGGTATATAATATAATGTTACATTATGAAGATTTCCTATGAATGGTTTAAATGTATCTTTCTGCTGCTAATTGATTGACACTGAACAATTATCGATTATTCTATTTCATTGCTCAGATTTTACACCAACTGTTTCTGGGCTTCCACCAACTACTCCAGGAAAGAAGAGCAGGACTGGGTTGATAGTTGGTATTGCAGTCCCTGTTGGGGCTGTAAGCTTGCTATTATTATTTGCAGTTCTATATATGAGGAGAAAAAAATCAGAAAAAGATGACGATGAAGGTAAAAGAGCATATTATTAGTGGTTAATTCTGCATTCGGTTTTAGGTTCTTTCTAGTGTTGATAAGCATGAAGCCTTTGAAAGAAATTACTTCTTATGTGTTGTGACATTAACACAAATTTTATAGTAGCATATATTGTTTCGAAATTTAAATGTATGTCATACTTTCTTTTGAATATGCAGATCTTCTAGGATTAGGCCCCCGACCAAATACTTTCAGTTATGCTGAGTTGAGAGCTGCAACAGAAGATTTTAATCCTTCAAATAAGCTAGGAGAGGGAGGATATGGACCTGTTTATAAGGTGAAATCTATTTTACATCAATATCTGCAAGGATTGAAATATAGGCCGATACACCAATATATCTGCCGATATATCGGTATTTTGTCGACACCAATACAGGGGAGTAAGACCATATCTTCCCCTGTATCGACGATATATCCCCGATAAGTGCGATATCCCGATATTTCCTGATATGCATAACAGAACCCAAAAAAAATTTAGAAGTTTGAAGGCAATTGAATCAAATTGAAACCTAAAAATAGCTAATCCTTGCCCAGAACCCTATAATTTATTAATATGAAGAATCTATGCAGATTCCACTGCTCACATACCTCCAATCCATCTGAAGAGGACATGGCGATCAGTTTTGGATGTATGAGCATAGGAACTAGACCTAGTACTAACTCAAATGAATCTCATGATGGCTATGGTTATGTCATGTCTTATTATAGTGGAACTAGTTATGGAGCTCAAGATGATAAAAAAGATTATGAACCTACTAGTTGGTTAATCCTAACTATCCCATATATGGGAGGACAATAGGGAGCTCAAGAGAGACCTATGTGCACCATGTTCAAACATGGCTTATAAACTGCTCGAGTTACATGACTTGGTATGACTATTGTATAAATCTAGATGGTTGTTCCTCATTGTTTGAACCTCATAGGAGCTCTTCATTTATGTAGATGGACATTTATCTAAATTGTAATCCAATGTTTAAACAAACTATGAATTTATGCATGGTTTATTCATTCTAATCAACATTTTATTTTCAAACTTTTCATTAACGCGCATTACATACCACTTAAATTTCATCATATGTATATCTTTTTAGTAAATTTTGAGTTTTATTTGTTCAATACATTCATTGATAATGCACATAACATTTATGAAAGTTTTACACCAAAATTATGTGTTTCAATGCCTATATCTGTCATTTTTGTTGATTGTTTCCCGATACCTAAAACGATAACGATATATCCCCCGAAATATCCATAAATTGGAGGCCCGATATTATCTGCACGGCCGATATTTTAATCCTTGAATATCTGCTACTTAAAATTAATGACTTTGACTTCTTACAAAAAGAAATTGAGAGAGAAGCAAAATAGATTCTTTTTACTTCCCTTTCATGTCATTGAATTGTATTTCTGTTTATAGGGTACACTATCTGATGGGAGGGTAGTGGCTGTGAAGCAACTTTCAGTAGCATCTCACCAAGGGAAGAATCAATTTGTAACCGAGATTGCTACGATATCTGCAGTCCAACATCGCAATCTAGTGAAATTGTATGGATGCTGCATTGAAGGAAGCCACCATATTTGGTTTATGAGTATCTTGAAAACAAGAGCCTTGATCAGGCACTTTTTGGTAGGTTTTATAGAAACAGAATACTCTGCAGTTTCAAGGACTCTAAAAGTTCATCCAAGTTTTTTACGCAACCATTTTGTTTTAATTTTTCTCTGCTGAGGAGTGAAGTTTAAAGAAACCAAAAGAGTAATATTCGAATCATGTGAAATTAAAAACCTGCACATTCTTTTGCTACTTTCCCTTCCATTTTGCAAAAAAAAAAACAGAATACTCTGCAGTTTAAAGTACTCTAAGGTTACATCCAATTTTTTTTTCTTTTTCTCTTCTACTTGTTATTAGTTGTTAACATGCATTGGTTCTTCTCCATGTAATGTTTCAGGAAGAAATGACTTGCACCTTGACTGGCCTACCCGCTTCAATATATTGTTGGGAACAGCAAGAGGACTTGCTTACCTTCATGAGGAGTCAAGGCCCAGGATTGTACATCGAGATGTCAAAGCCAGTAATATTTTGCTCGATGCCGAACTCTCCCCAAAAATATCAGATTTTGGATTGGCAAAGCTTTATGATGACGAAAAAACCCACATTAGCACCCGGGTTGCAGGGACAATGTAAGCCTCCATTTAAGTTATACATTGTTAATCGTGACAAGGGTGTAATCCAAGCAACATTTTTAGTAACCATTTCATGATCTTGTAGAGGTTATTTGGCGCCGGAGTATGCAATGCGTGGACATCTGACAGAAAAGGCTGATGTATTTGGTTTCGGGGTTGTTGCTTTGGAGATCCTCAGCGGGAGGCCAAACTCAGACAACAACTTGGATCCTGAAAAGATTTATCTTCTTGAATGGGTAGGAAAACAATATGCCTAGCTACTTTTATTTTAGCATTGTTGTGAAAACTTCTTTACTTTTTTCCTTTTTAACCATGCCATGCCCATGATGTTTGTTTTCAGGCATGGACTCTACATGAAAACGACCAGAGTTTGGGGCTGGTGGATCCGAGATTGACAGAGTTTGATGAAAAGGAAGCAACTAGATTGATAAAAGCAGCCCTCCTCTGCACTCAGGCTTCACCAATGATGAGGCCATCGATGTCACGCGTGGTGGCAATGCTCTCTGGAGATATTGAAGCAAGCACTGTTATTTCAAAGCCAAGTTATTTGACAGATTGGGATTTCAAAGATGTAACCACAAGTAGCTTTTTGATGGATAATGATACCCCATCAACTGAGGGCAATGTTCATCTCAACCATCAACCTGAAGGGACCACAACTAGTGCTAGCCCTGGGATTGACCTTTCGCCGTCTCCGGTAAATGTCACTGAATCAATGCTGACTGGCATTATAGGAGAAGGCAGGTGAGAACTAAGAAGTTGCCATTGTCTTGCCCTTGCTGTCAATATGTGACTTTTACTACTAAAACTTTCCTACATGTACTTTTCTTTGGGTCTTTCTCTGCCTCCAGTTTTTAGCAATGGTGATGCATATATAAAATAAGATACCATTTTATATATATCTGGTTGCCTTCATCCTCATTGAAAAAAAAATACATGTTCGATAGATCTTTTAATTAAGAAAAAGAAATGGATGTTCCTTTTTCTTTTTGATAGCACGGTAAATTTTAAATAAAGAAACAACTTTACATAAGCGCTTATAAGCAAAAGTCTCGCAAATTTAGTGACTTTAATAGCTAAATAGTATATTTCAGCATATGTGAACACTGTAAAACTGTTTGATTAATAAAATGTCACAACGAACTCAAATTGATCCACAAACAAGTCAGCACCAAAGCAAATCTCAGCAACAGAAAAATATGGACAAACGGTTTTCTAAATAAAGAAACGTCAATGATTCACCATGTAGGCTTTAGCGGACTAGACATGTGACGATTCATATGTTGCAAATGACAAATATAATGAATACAATTACGATGGTGAATGCAATTATGATGGCAATTGAATCCATCTCTTTTTTTTTTCTTTTTCTTTTTTTAAAAATTATTATTTATAAACTTGAAAATCAATCATTAAATTAGGGACCATGTTGGATACCACAAACTAACCAACCATGAATTTTTTTTTTAAACAAATAATATTCTAAATTATTATAGTGTACAAGAATCGAGTTTAAAAAGACAAGCACACTCTATATACCTAACTCCAGTGCACACCAACACGGAATTATTGAATCAACATCGTAAAGAAAAAAAAACCCTCATCACAAGAAAAATGTGAATTTCCAAGTCTTTGAGGTTACTTGACAATGTTTTGGTGATTTCAATTCCACCACCAAACTCCTTGAACAGAGGAGAGTGTTAAGAAAATTTAGTAAACACTTTTATAGGAGAATGCTTGGTTCTAATTTCTCTGAACTCTCAACTCATTCGCATTCGAATTCAGTCTCAATTAGATTCCTTCACAAAATTGCAAATTGTAACAAAGTGTTGGACATTTTTGGAAGCTTATCATAAGATTGATATAAAACAACTATGCCAATCATATTGCTCATGAACTATATACAATTTATCTCAGAAAAAAGAAAGGAAAAAGTTGTGAGGCTAGTTGTTGAATAAACTAATATTGATGGTTTGAAGAATTTGACAGATAGACATGGACTCTATCCTCTCTGTCTCTCTCTGTCTCTGTCTATCTCGTACCATTAAGTGAGTGGGAGAATCGTCTCTTTCACTCTCATATTGTTAGAAGAGAGAGAGAGAGAGAGAGAGAGAGAGATGATGAGTTTCAGAATCAGTGGAAGAAGCTAGCCGCCATCTCCTCATACCAATTTGCTGGTTCTTGCTTCAGCTTCTGTCTCTCTGCTTCAATAGCTCATCACCTCAGAAATCTACTGCAAACCCTTTCTAAGGTATCTCTCTCTCTCTCTCTCTCTCTCTCTCTCTCTCTCTCAGTTGGCTTGAATGATCATAAACTGCTAGTTTTATTCTTTGAAAATGTTAATAAATTAAGGTTGTTTTATTGTAATTCAAAGAGGCATTCAAAAGCAATGTTTCCCTGTTTGCATGGTAAAAACACTCTGGTTAAAAATTATAGAATATTATAATAAGTTTAGTTAAATTTCTATAGCTTTATTGTTAGTCCACTCCATCCCTTTGATATTGTGAACAAGAAAAAGTATTTAAATTGGAATAGCCATGAGATGAGTATCTAGAATTGTAGATAAATATTTCAAACTCTAGCTCAATATAATAATAACAATATTCAATGTGGATGTCACTTGTCAAAGCATTTAGCCCACTGCACGTGGGAAATTAGAAAAGTGGCAGCCATCTGATCCTGCAACTTGGAAAGGGAAAAAGAAGTAATAATATATACAAAACCTCTGAAGTCAGTCAACAATGGTTGCCAATGTGAGTAAAATCTAACTGGAAATATTCCACATAGTGAGCATACATCAACATCCTTAACATCAATTCTCATCAGATTAGACGCATGGATAGAACTTTATATTAAATATGTGGTCAATAATTCATCGATGCACATGCTTCTGATTGTTGAAAATGGATTGTACAAAACCTCTTTGTGTTAGAACAAGTACTTTAGGAACCATTGGCAATTCAAATTTTGTGCCGTCGAAGAGCCAGCGCTTGTGTACAATAACATGATCGATTCGAGGAGGATGTTGAAGCAACCATGGCATCTTTCAGTGTCCATTGCCTTCTTTTCCAGCCTATGCTTCTGGTTTCAGGTGTCCATGGCTCAAAATGCTACTACCGATCCATCTGAAGGTACACTAGCCATGCTTTCAAAAGTGTATATATTTCTAAGCATCTTTTAAATGCAGAGTGTATATATGTTACAGTCTAGTAACACAAGTACGTTATGTGATGTGTACACAACGATTGAATTGAGAGTGCAGTGAGGGCGTTGAACTCAATATTTGAGCAATGGGACACGCAAGCGGGGGGGCTGTGGAATATCAGTGGAGAGCCATGCAGTGGATCTGCCATTAATGGAACCGAGTTTGAGGATCCAGCTAATAATCCAGCCATCATTTGTGATTGTACTTATGAAAAAAGTACTACCTGCCACATCACCCAACTGTATGTTACCCTCCTCTCTCTCTCTCTCTCTCTCTCCATACTCTTTAGTCTTGTGTTGTTGACTGTAGCAACTCCATTAATTATGTGTTAGAAAACTAAGCAGATCATGCCTGATATATCAATTGTAATATTAAGTGCCTAACGGCTCAATCTTTTTTCTTTCCAGGAGAGTTTATGCTCTGAACAAACAAGGGGTGTTTCCACAAGAATTTGTGGCTTTAAGATATCTGACCTATTTGTATGAAGTTTTTCCAACCCCTTCTCTGTTGTTTGGTTTATCACAGTTTACATTTTCATATAAATGACACAAGTTTCTTACCGTTCAAAATTGTCACGAATATTTTTTATACTCGGAGATTAATCACTGGTCATTGCATTTTGTTTCAATTCTTGTAGGAAAATTGATCAGAATTATTTCACCGGTCCCCTACCAGCATTCATCGGCAATATGTCTGCGTTGACATTATTGTAAGTAGTGAAAGAACATTTGTTTTAGTACAAATTTCCTCTGTCAAATACTTTGATGAGTCTCATTCCATGTACAATTTCTACAATTGACTTAGTTTCTATTTTCCTTTTTCTCCATTTTTTAAGCTTTAAGGAACTACTTACTAGTTATAATCTTTGAGGTAAGGCTAGTTGCTTTTTGATTGGCTTTTTGATATATATAAGTTGGAATTGCATTTCTTACAAATCAATTAATTTTGTTGGTTTATTTATTCTTGGAGGACATGAAACATAGACTCCCAAGTGAGTTATTGTACTACTATACATAAAATTATTTTGTTTTTATCCTGAATTATAAATGGGTGCTAATATCTTTAATTGATATTTCCATTCAGGTCAATTGCCCACAATTCATTCTCTGGGCCCATCCCCAAGGAGCTTGGAAACCTTAAGGAGCTAAAATTGCTGTAAGCAATGAAACATAAGAAAACACAATTAAATTTTGTGTTTTAGACATATGAGAAATGCTCAATTGGGACATGTTAAATATAGAACCCCCTATGATTTAATTATATACCTCTTCAACATGACTTGTTGCAGGTCCATTGGATCAAATAATTTCTCCGGAACACTCCCTCCAGAACTTGGTAACTTAGTCAAGCTCGAGGAATTGTGAGTGCATCATTTAACTCATCGAATTTGAATCACATGTTGCAATGTATAATTATTTTCTATTTAAGGAGCGGTTTATTTGTTAATTCATTATCGATGAGCAAGAAATGCATTTATCATATGAAATTGGTACTAATCAGTTTATGATTTTCACAGGTACATAAACAGCGGTGGATTCAGTGGTGAAATTCCTTCAACATTTGCTAAGCTCATCAACATGCAAATCCTGTAAGAATGGTCCTTAAGTGGTGTTTTAAGTTTTTTGTTCATTCGGTACTTTGAGATTGCTATTCTGGGATGAGCTTACTAACTATGAGTCAACCTTTTGAATTTTAGCGGGGCATCAGACATTCCTTTATCAGGAAAGATACCTGCTTTCATTGGGAATTGGACAAAACTAACTGTTTTGTAAGTACGGAAAACTTTTAACCTTCTGCAGTTTATGAAAGCAGACCTGCATGGCTGAGATGGGTCTTTTATTCACAAGCATCTCTAATGTTTTTGTAGGAGATTTCAAGGGAACTCTTTTGAAGGCCCAATACCAACCAGTTTTTCTCAATTGACCTCATTGAATTCTCTGTATGGGCAAATGCTTCATACGTTTTACTCTCTCTCTCTCTCTCTCTCTCTCTCTCTTTCTCTCTCTCTCCTATACTAGCATCACTTATGTTTGTGTATGATTATGCAGGCGAATCAGTGATATATATAATGTGAGCTCCTCTCTTGATTTTATAAGTACTTTGAAGAACTTGACTGATTTGTAAGTTAACATTCTCGTCCCTTCAAATATCGTGATCTAACTTCTTTTTCCTTCTAAAAATTTGCAATCTTACTCATTTACTTGTGCACTAAATGTTTTGCCGGTGTGACAGAGCTCTACGGAACGCATTAATCAATGGCAGCATCCCTACTGATATTGGAGAATATCAACGTTTACTGATACTGTACGTTCCAGTAGATATATAATCTTAATTCCCAAAAATACCAATTAATTTTCTTTCATTCTAATTGCTCTCTAACCTTATCATTCATGTTGCAGGGATCTGGGTTTCAACAATTTAACAGGCCAACTCCCAAGTTCTTTGTTCAACATGAGTTCTCTTACATATTTGTAATAAGCCCTGCCTTCATTATTCCCTTTTTCTGTACTTATGCCATTGAATTTCCTGCTCAGAAACATAGTCATTCATCTGACCTTTTTCTTGTTTCTTTGTTTCTTTTCTTTTTTCTGGGTGCCTCCTATTATTGATATGGCCAGATTTCTTGGAAACAATAGTCTGTCTGGACCTCTTCCAAGCCAAAAGAGCAATCTATTACATACTATGTAAGTCCTCATGTCATAAACGTATGCTATATGTACTGGCAATGAAACCAGTACTCTGTGTGTGTGTTTGCACGCATTCTGGCAGCCTTTTTCTTACTTAAATTCCTTTGAACTTTCATGCATTTTTGTGCCTTCTCATTCTGTATTGTTATGTGCAGAGATTTGTCTTACAACTATTTCTCAGGAAGCTTTCCCCCATGGGTAACCACAACATTGCAACTGTATGTCACCTTTTTATCTTTCACCTTCATTTTTATGGTCCAAATCACCTTCATTGTGCATATACAATACCACATGAATGAAATTCAATAAATTAGGAGGGATGGATTTTGAATACTGATATGTTAAGATCTTGAACACGAAATTTTCATCTTCATATGTGGATTGATTAATGATTTTATGCAGGAACTTAGTGGTCAACAACTTCACATTTGGCAGTTCAAACATAACGTGAGTTGAAGTTTCTCTTACCCTTAGTTAGACAGAGAATACTATCACTACTTGCTATTACACTTCTTCAGTTTAATGGATTCTTCCACTACAATTTTCCATCAGGATAAATAATAATTGTTCTCTGTTTTTTTCAGTCTTCCTGGATTGAATTGCCTCCAGAGGAATTTTCCATGCAACCGAAATACTCCTCGATGTAATCTTCTTTTATTTCACTAGACATTAATTAATGCACTATCATGTTACAGGAATACGCATTGCTTCTCTAGTAAGCATATCTGGTTATAAATATGTGATTCAGAAACATCAGTATGATTCTTGAGTTTGAAGTTTTTATCACTAATCAATTTTATAGATGCAAACTTCTCAATCAATTGTGGAGGATCACAAATGAGAGGAAGTGATGGCCTATTGTATGAAGCTGACGACTCAGACCTTGGCCCAGCAACATTTAATGTAACCAGTACACAGAAATGGGCTGTTAGCAATGTGGGTTTGTTTGCTGAAAAAAAGAATCCATCATTTGTGCAAAACACCCTTACACAAGTCACCGGTACAGATGTGACCCCAGAGCTTTTCCAGAATTCAAGGTTGTCCCCAGGTTCACTGCGATACTATGGCCTGGGTCTTCAGAATGGACCTTATACTGTAACATTGCAATTTGCAGAAACGGTTTTTGACAGCCGCGCTAAACAAACTTGGGAAAGTCTAGGAAGGCGTGTATTTGATATCTATATTCAAGTAAGGCTGCTAATGAACTATTTGAAGTAAAGGCAACCTCGTTAGACAGAATTGTTTAACTATCTCTTCATTTGCTTCCTAGGGGAACCTCATAAGGAAGGACTTCGACATATCGAAGGAGGCAGGTGGGGTTAACAGAGCAGTTAAGAGACCCTTCAAGGTTAATGTGACAGAGAATTACCTAGATATTCATCTGTTCTGGGCTGGTAAGGGAACATGTTGCATTCCTGAACAGGGTGATTACGGCCCGCTAATATCGACTGTCCATGCTGCTTCAGGTATATAATCTAATGTTAAATTGTGAAGATATCCTATGAATGGTTTACATGTATCTTTCTGCTGCTAAATTATTGACACTGAACAATTATTCTATTTCATTGGTCAGATTTTACACCAACTGTTTCTGGGCTTCCACCAACTACTCCAGGAAAGAAGAGCAGGACTGGGTTGATAGTTGGTATTGCAGTCCCTGTTGGGGCTGTAAGCTTGCTATTATTATTTGCAGTTCTATATATGAGGAGAAAAAAATCAGAAAAAGATGACGATGAAGGTAAAAGAGCATATTATTAGTGGTTAATTCTGCATTCGGTTTTAGGTTCTTTCTAGTGCTGATAAGCATGAAGCCTTTGAAAGAAATTACTTATGTGTTGTGACATTAACACAAATTTTATAGTAGCATGTATTGTTTCGAAATATAAACATATGTCATACTTTCTTTTGAATATGCAGTTCTTCTAGGATTAGGCCCCCGACCAAATACTTTCAGTTATGCTGAGTTGAGAGCTGCAACAGAAGATTTTAATCCTTCAAATAAGCTAGGAGAGGGAGGATATGGACCTGTTTATAAGGTGAAATCTATTTTTCATCAATATCTGCAACTTTAAAGTAATGACTTTGACTTCTTACAAAAAGAAATTGAGAGATAAGCAAAATAGATTCTTTTTACTTCACTTTCATGTCACTGAATTGTATTTCTGTTTATAGGGTACACTATCTGATGGGAGAGTAGTGGCTGTGAAGCAACTTTCAGTAGCATCTCACCAAGGGAAGAGTCAATTTGTAACCGAGATTGCTACAATATCTGCAGTCCAACATCGCAATCTAGTGAAATTGTATGGATGCTGCATCGAAGGAACCCAGCGCATTTTGGTTTATGAGTATCTTGAAAACAAGAGCCTTGATCAGGCACTTTTTGGTAGGTTTTATAGAAACAGAATACTCTGCAGTTTCAAGGACTCTAAAAGTTCATCCAATTTTTTTACGCAACCACTTTGTTATAATATTTCTCTGCTGAGGAGTGAAGTTTAAAGAAACCAAAAGAGTAATATTTGAATCATATGAAATTGAAAACCTGCACATTCTTTTGCTACTTTGCCTTTTATTTTGCAAAAAAACAGAATACTCTGCAGTTTAAAGTACTCTAAGGTTACATCCAATTTTTTTTTCTTTTTCTCTTCTACTTGTTATTAGTTGTTAACATGCACTGGTTCTTCTCTATGTAATGTTTCAGGAAGAAATGACTTGCACCTTGACTGGCCTACCCGCTTCAATATATTGTTGGGAACAGCAAGAGGACTTGCTTACCTTCATGAGGAGTCAAGGCCCAGGATTGTACATCGAGATGTCAAAGCCAGTAATATTTTGCTCGATGCAAAACTCTCCCCAAAAATATCAGACTTTGGATTGGCAAAGCTTTATGATGACGAAAAAACCCACATTAGCACCCGGGTTGCAGGGACAATGTAAGCCCTCGTTTAAGTTATACATTGTTAATCGTGACTAGGGTGTAATCCAAGCAACCATTTCATGATCTTGTAGAGGTTATTTGGCGCCAGAGTATGCAATGCGCGGACATCTGACAGAAAAGGCTGATGTATTTGGTTTCGGGGTTGTTGCTTTGGAGATCCTCAGCGGGAGGCCAAACTCAGACAACAACTTGGATCGTGAAAAGATTTATCTTCTTGAATGGGTAGGAAAACAATATGCCTAGCTACTTTTATTTTAGCATTGTTGTGAAAACTTCTTTACTTTTTTCCTATTTAACACTGCCATGCACATGATGTTTGTATTCAGGCATGGACTCTACATGAAAACGACCAGAGTTTGGGGCTGGTGGATCTGAGATTGACAGAGTTTGATGAAAAGGAAGCAACTAGATTGATAAAAACAGCTCTCCTCTGCACTCAGGCATCACCAATGATGAGGCCATCGATGTCACGCGTGGTGGCAATGCTCTCTGGAGATATTGAAGCAAGCACTGTTATTTCAAAGCCAAGTTATTTGACAGATTGGGATTTCAGAGATGTAACCACAAGTAGCTTTTTGAGGGATAATGATACCCCATCAACTGAGAGCAATGTTCTTCTCAACTGTCAGCCTGAAGGGAGCACAACTGCTGCTAGCCCAGGGATTGACCTTTCGCCGTCTCCGGTAAATGTCACTGAACCAATGCTCACTGGCATTATAGGAGAAGGCAGGTGAGAACTAAGAAGTTGCCATTGTCTTGCCTTTGCTGTCAATCTGTGAATTTTACTGCTAAAACTTTCCTAAATGTTGTACTTGTCTTTGGGTCTTTTTCTGCCTCTAGTTTTTAGCAATGGTGATGCATATATAAAATAAGATACAATTCTATAGATATCTGGTTGCCTTCATCCTCCTCATGGAATAATAATACATGTTCTATAGATTTTCTTTTAATTAAGAAAAAGAAATGGATGTTCCTTTTTCTTTTTGATAGCACAGTAAATTTTAAATAAAGAAACAACTTTACATAAGCGCTTATAAGCAAAAGTCTCGCAAATTTAGAGACTTTAATAGCTAAATAGTAAATTTCAGCATATGTGAACGACTGTGAAACTGTTTGATTAATAAAATGTCACAACGAACTCAAATTGATCCACAAGCAACTCAACACCAAAGCAAATCTCAGCAACAGAAAAATATGGAAAAACGGTTTTCTAAAGAAAGAAACATCAATGATTCACCATGTAGGCTTTAGCAAACTAAACATGTGACATAGAACCAGAGCCGGTCCATTAGATATGGAGGTCCTTTGCAAAGAAAGCTGATGAGGCCCTACATGTATAAGTAAATTAACAATTTTTTAAATTTTAAAATTTATAAATCATAAATTAAACCAAAATATGTGGTATCAATTACGTTAGAACCCACAAATAGAATCAAGATCATCCTTCGTCTATTTTCACATACTCACATCCATTCAATTTTCTTTTACATACAAAAAAACTACACATACCCACAAATATAATATAATGTTGGACTTATAAAAATATTTGGAAGCCCCTAAATTTTGGAGGCTCTGTGCGGTTGCACAGCTCGCACATGCCATAAGCCGACTCTGCATAGAAACGGTTGGTGGGTTCCAGAAAAAACATACGAAGTCTTTCTTTTCTTTTCCTTGGAAGCATATTCCTAGGTGTACCCGCCAGATCACATGAGGCAATCCAGGCCCACATTTTCTTCATTTCTATTGGCCCCACCAAAAGTAGCCGTTAGAAATTTGAACGTTAAGCCTGCCCTTTTCCAGAACTTTAAATGGTGGAACTTGCTATGCTCTTGTGGACAGAATCCGATACTTCCAGATTGGCACCAGACCATATAATATATATATATATACACACACTCACCTAGTCAGTCTTATCAGAACTCAAAGAAAGAAGAAAGCTTTGAGAAGTGAAAGTAGTTAGAGAGAGCTAGTAAGAAGAGAGAAGAAAAGAAACTAAAGATGGGTATGGTTGTGGTGATCTCTCTGCCTTTTATTTTGTTCACCATACTGCTTGGTTTTGGTTGCTACTTCTTTGGAAGAGCCAGAGGGCGAAAAGACGCAATTTCCTCAGCTCAGGTTTATGGGGTGCCTACTCCACCACCAGGAGCTAATAATTCTCTGCCTTCATCTCCTCCACCACATCATTTCAAGCACGACAACTCTTCCAATGTTTAAGCCTCTTCCTCTTTAGCTTCTTCATATGTTTTCTGTTCTTGTTCAGATCAGAGAGCAAAAGAGTGTGTGGTTTTTTTTTTTTCCTTTTTTTTTTTTTATATGTGTTTTTGTGTGAATTTTGAACTGTGTTGGGGAGAAAAGCCCAATTGGGCATGTGGGTTTGTGTATATTTATTGTAACCTGAATCAATAACTGATGAAATACAAATTTTATTTATTTATTCAGATTATTTTTCTGAACTCTTGATTTTCTGATCTGAATTGAAAATTGGCAGACTTAATGCAATAAACAAAAAACAGGGGAGAGGGGAAACAGAGCACAGGATTTTTTCCCAACATTAACAAGTGATTCAGCATTGTAGTTGATAACAAAATAACCAAAAACAAGTTTACATATAACTAGAGAAGATATCAAAATGCCAAGCTGCTTTCATTTTTATAAAGAAAACTCAATCAGACATCTTACAGTCAGTCGAAGACAGCCAGAGTTTGATAGCCTTGGCCGGAGATGTCTAATTCCATGACCTGGTCGGGGTCAAGTTGGCCGTCATTGTCCAAGAAGCACTTGAGCATGGCCTCCGAGAAGCCACCCAACAACGTCACCCCTGGCTCTTCAGTACGCCATGGCGCATACCCCACACTTATGAGATTCCAAATCACCAAGTGCGGCACGGCATACCCCTTCTCCTTAAACTTCCTCTGGATTTCCTCATAATCCCCGCCGCGAGGCTTCCAGCAGCCGTCGCTGAACTGTTTAAAGAAGGTGAACACAAACACTTTCCTCACCATCTTCTCTGCTTTCACATTCTCATTGACCGCCGCTTCAAGAATCAAATCAAACACCTTCCCCGGATCAACCTCCCAGTCCTCACACTCCTCCAAACTGTGCATAAAGCTGAACTCTTGAGATCTTCGCCCCGTACCAAATACAGCTGAGGGTTTTTTCTGTAATTCACCACCTTTCCTTGCCAGTGCCCTTGGCTCAGTTGAGACACAAACAACTCCAGAGCCACCGACACCGACGCCCCCGCGTCACACACAGCCAAGCAGTTGTTCAGCCTCCCCTGCTTTTTATACACGTCCTCCGTCATTCTCTTCCACTGAAGCTCAGCTGCTTGCTCGTAAAGACCATTATACTCCACGGCGCAGAGTGCGATCCCGTGTGGAAGCACAGCACCGGCCTCAATCATGCTCTCGGACACAGACTCGGACTTTGACTCGGCTGCAGTAATGGCTGTTCTCAGCGCCACCATATACTTGTGAACCACAGAGACAGAGGTATCCGGCTCTCGGCAGTACACCAGGCGTTGATCATAACCCCACTTGTTGGCAGTGGCACCTTCTTGGCTGGCTGGTGACAAGGCTCGTCTCAAGGGCACCAAAACCTCCTTCCGCAGCCACCGCTGCACAGACATTGGGTTCGAAAATTCTGATTCTCCTGGTGTGAAAACCTTCATCGCCACAATTTCATACAGCAGTTGATCCATGAGGGGCGACATGAAACGGAAGCAATCAGCCACACCGGGTTATGTTCAGGTCCAACGTCTTCATCTTCTTTTTCTTTTGGTTATGCTCTTGCTCACGACGCTGCTGCTGATGCTGGTTGAATTCTTGGACATCATGCTTCAAGCACTCGGCCATAAGTTCAGAAACCCGGTCGTGCAAAAACCTGTAATCCGAGTCGCCGTGGTACCTCTCGACAGCCTTGTTGGCCATGGCAGCCGTCTTCCTTCTCTTCAACAAGGCGCTCGCTTTCTCCTTGGCTTTTTCCGCCTTGATTTGCCGAATCTGTCTAGGACTAGGAGAGGAAGAGAACGAGTTGTCCTATTTTTCTTCCTTGCATTTAGTGTTAACTGGAACTGAAACTGTTGGGACTGAAAGTTTTGGTTCTTCTCCTTCCTGGTCCAAGAGTATTGATCAACCTGCTGCTGGCCATTGCCTTGTAGAACCCCAGACAGAATGTCGAGAACGACGGGAATATGGCCGAACGCACCACCCCAACTCTGATCCACCCCACTCACTCTCTCTCTCTCTCTCTCTCAAAAGAACAACCTTACCTTCATCTGTTTTCGAATGGTTCTGTAGGTAGTGTCCTGTGGGATTTTGTTTGTTTCTCTCACCCTTGATCATGCCCCTCTGCTCATCACTCTCCTTCCCACTTCTCCATTCGTTGGGCAGACCCTATCCTCCCAGACAACCACATCTTTTTCCTTTTTCTTTTTCAAGATTTTTTTTGTATCTAATGTTACAATTTACTTTGAGTGCTGCTAAATAAACTCTAAAATTAATTGAATATACCCTACTACAAAAATATATATTGAATTACTGATTTACTCTAATATAAAATGACCAAAAATTATATGTGGAATTGTGAAACAAATATAATTTTAATAAGTACACCCTACTAACCACATTCAACCGTAATTAAGAGATTACTTGATTCTCATCTTTGTGATCCGCTAGTCACAATGGCTTGGAGCAGATGAAGTCTTCCTTCGTTCTTCTTAGAACTATTTCTTAGCAACTTGGATTACTTGGTTGCCAACCTTTTGCAATCGTCTGTGTTGTTTCTTTCTTCCTGTTCTTTGTGTTTACGCTCCAACAATCTTTTATCATCCGAATTACCCAATCAGCAATAAGAAAAGAAACCGAATCGAAGTCAAAGTCAAAGTTTCTTTATGAATATGAAAATCAATCTGACTTACCTAGACCCTCTCTGAACAACCAAAAGCATGTCTTTTTTTTTCTTTTTTTCTTTTTGGAGCCATGGATAAATCTCCATGCGTTTGTCTCAGCTTCGTGCATGGGTAATTATGATGGTTTTTTGTTCATTTGGCTTCTTCCAACACAAAAAATGTTATGAGATAATTTGTATTTAATTTTCCATTTGTCCTATTGTGTTTTTAACGAAAGAGGTGGTGATTGCAAGAACTTGAAATTGCAAAAAAAGTGTCAACAGTTTTAGTATAATCATAAATCTATATGAAAAGTCAAAGATTTATAAACACTATTTAAAAAATAAATAAAGCTGAAAATCAACTATAAAATAATGCTACAAGTATGAGGGTGTACCAAGGATATTTTTGGTAGTTCCATACAGTGTACTTAGTTAATTTTACATTTTAATTAAAATATTAGGGTGTACTTAGTTAATTTTAGGGTTCGTTTAGCAGCATTCTTTACTTTTAATGAATTTTTAATTTTTATAGATTAATTCAGTTTTTATTTTATAATTAATTTCAAAAAGTTTATAGGTTTTTAAAAGACGAAATAAAGTTTTATCATGTGTATTTAACAACAAATTTAATGGAATAGACAACATTGACTAACATTCCTAAACACAAGGAACTAAATTGGCCAATATAGTAAAACACAGGACGAGTTTTGCATTTAACCGTATGATTTATGTTCTTGCTTGTTCAGATCAGAGAGCAAAAGAGAGTGTTTGGTAATTGGCAGACTTATGCAATAACCAAAAAACAGGGGAGGAGATAATAGGAAGAAAGTAATTTGTTGAGCTAAATTAAAATGATTAGAATTTCTCATTAAATTAAAGTAGTAACAATCATTAATTGGTGGCTAGCTAGCAAGATTAACTAAAACTGATGACGATGCTCCTCCTCCTCATTCCTATGAGTCAATCAGTCCACTACAACCAGAGATTGATACTTTCTGGGAGAGAGAGCTGCTTCCATGACATGGTCAGGGAAAATATCCCCATCATTGTCCAAGAAGGACTTGACCAAATTGTTGGTGATGAAGCCACTCAACATGGTCACCCCTGGTTGTGTACAAGGCACCGCCTGTGTCGATTTGTCTTGGCTCAGATTCCAAACCACCAAGTGTGGCACTACATTCCCGTATCCTTTTTCCTTGAACTTGCTTTTTATTGCCTCGTAATCAGTCTCCCATTGATTGGCCGAAATCTCATCAAAGTCAAAGTAGATGGTGAACACAAACACCTTAGTGATCATTTGCTCTGGCCTCAAATTCCCATTCACAGCTGCTTCAAGAATCAAATCAAACACCTTTTGGAAATCAACCTTGCAATGCCACTCCTGGCTGTCCATCCTCCTCACAAATGCGCACTTGGACCTAAGATCATCGCCTTGTATTGCAAGCAACTGAGGGTTTCGATTGAAAGTGATCACCTTTCCTTTCCATGCTGGCTCCTGGTTCAGTTCAGACACCAAAAGCCCCAGAGCCACTGACACATCCATAGGAACCCTCATCATGTTCCCGGAAACGTCGCATATGGCCAAGCAGTTTCTAAACTTGCATTGCTTCAAGTAGACGTCCTCCACCATAACCTTCCACTGAAGCTCGGCCACGTGGCGCAGCTCATCACAATCGTAAACATATTCTATGATCTTATGCGGAAGCATAGCGCCGGCCTCAATCTTGGACTTGCCTCCGGCTTTCACCTCCTCCAAATACTGGCGATCCGGGCAGGAAGCTCGATGATTGGTCCTCCATTCAAATTGATAACCCGACTGTTCCTCCAAGGGGGCCTCCAAGGGCAACAAAACCTCCTTCATCAGCAGCTGTCGGGCTCTGTCTGCGTGATCGGCCTCGTTTTCCTCAAATCCTTGGTATGAAATTCGTGGGAAAATCTTCTTGGCAATGCTCTCAGAGAGCAGAGTGGTGCAATCGTACAAGGAGTCAACGTGCGGGCACCACCTGGCAGCCCGAGTTAACTCCAAGCAGTAGTTGTGATCATCATCATCAGATTGAGATTGGTACTTCTTCTGCTTCAATTCTTTAAAGTTTTCAATATCAGACTTGAGACAGTCTGCGAACAGATCGGAAACGCGGTCGTGCAAGAAGCGATAATGGGGGTCGCGCTCGTATCTGTCAAGAGCCTTTTTAGCCATGGCGATCTTATCCTCTGTCTCCTCGATGGCTTCTGAGAGTAAGGTAATAGAATAATGTGGGTCTTTGCCTTCTAGTATCCGGTACAGAATGACGAGAACATTTTCAAAACTATGGAAGCCGGCGGCAATAGCCGGGAGGTTGCAGACCAGGGTTTTGGGGTGGTTGTGGTGTAGCCAAGACGCCGCCGAGTTGAAGCCTTGTGCATGTTCTTTGCCGGGGCCATGAGGATCGTAGTGGAGGTTGCAGATGAGCTTGAGGGTGGTGAGGGGATTGTGGGACCAGGCCAAGGGAAGGAACTGGTTCAGATAGTTAAGGTTGGCCTGCCGCTTGACCGGGGTGTTTGGTTCGACGAGGCGGAAGAAGAGATCGAGGCAGGGGTTGCCGAAGGTGGGAGAGGAAGGTGGAGTTGGAGTTGGAGTTGGAGGAACCCAATTGGCATGTTTTCGACATACTTGCAGAGGGGATATGATTCGCACTTTCGCCACTGCTTTCATCATCGAAACTCAAATTCAACAGTGAACAAGAACAAGTAGGGCAACTTCTTTCCTTCTCTTCTACTGTTTTTATTTTGACGGATTTTTTATTTTATAAAACACCTCAACACCCAGCCGCCAATTAAAATATACATTCTTATTTTATTTTATTTTTTTATTTGGGTAAATATCTTCTTCATTTGGATATTATTTTCTTTCAATTATTTCAACATTAATGATGAGCAGCATGGTCCGCTTTGATCCACCTCATGATCAAATTGGAAGCAAAAGTTATATTAATAGTTGGATGCAATCCTCGCATTATATGTATTTGATTCAAGTCCTTTGATTACTTTGCCACAAAAATTTACATTCTTTTTTACTAGGTTGGCTGGAAATTAGTTTTTGTTTATTCTCATATTCCATGGATGAGTCATGACTCCAAATACATAAAGAATTCTAGCCACACACAAAAAAAACCATAAAGAATGTAATTGCCTATTATATTGTTGAAATATTGGATCCGTGGCCCTAGCCCTACAAGTAAGAAAGTAAGAAAATCTTCGGAAAGATTCCCTTTAATAAAATATTAATTTGGACATTTCTACCGTCCGAAGTCTGTCGATTTGTATCTGCGCTGGAGATCCTCAAAAATTCATGGAAATAAATAAATAAATAAAATCTCACAAAATTCATCGAGTAAAAATCAAGCATCATAAAACCTCTGCAGTAAAAATCATCTCAAAAATTCATGGCAAAGTGAGAGTTGGTCATACTTTTAAGAGGCATTATAATAAATAAGTTGTGTTGATTTTCGTCACTTTGGCACAACACTAGAAATATTGATTGACCTACCTACTTTTTTTTTTAAATGAAGAAAAAGGGGGAAAACTCCCAAACACCAACACGATAACTAACCAATACTAATCAGATGAGTCTCAATAGCTCCCAAAGAATTATTAAGCAATAAATAATCAAGTTAGACAGGACTCTCTTCAAAGTAGTAATAGCCCATATCTAGATTGACAGGACCCGACCTGAATTCCCTCTCGAAACTCATGTTGAATCCTGTTACATATTCCGGCACTTGAACAATGTTGGGCCCACTACTAACTCTACACCTCTCACCTGTACTTTAAGAACAATGGGTC